TTCCCCTTCCTGTAAGCATCTTCTTTGGCCTGACGGAGCTGTCTGAGTTTTGCAGTGAACCATGGCTTGTCGTTGTTGTAGGTTAAATGAGTCCTGGTAGGAATGCACATATCTTCACAGAAACTGATATATGATGTTACAGTCTCTGAGGTCAAAACAAGCTTGTAAATCCTGCTCTGCTTCATTAGTCCATATTTTTACAGTCCTTAATACAGGTTTAGCTGATTTCAGTTTCTGCCTGTAGGTCGGTATAAGATGAACCAAACAGTGATCAGAGAGCCCCAAAGCTGCCCGTGGGACAGAGTGATTTGCATTCTTTATTGTGGTGTAACAGTGAACCAATAAATTACTGTCTCTGGTGGGACATGTGATGTGCTGTCTGTATTTTGGCAGTTCACGGGAGAGATTTGCTTTATTAAAGTCCCGAAGAATGATTAAAACAGAGTTTGGGTGTTGTTGTTCTGTCAGTGTGAGCTGATCAGCGAGTTTCTGTAAAGCTGAGCTCACGTGAGCTTGCGGAAGAATGTAAACACTGACGAGAATGAACGAGCAAAACTCCTGCGGCGAGTAGACAGGCTTACAGTTAATGAAAATTCAATTCAATTCAATTCAAGTTTATTTGTACAGCACTTTTCACGATACAAATCATTGCAAAGCAACTTTACAGCAAATTATGTTTCTACAATATTTAGTGGTAGCTTGTCAGTGGTGACTGCCAGTCAATGTACATATGGCAGAAATGTATGGAAAAATCAATTAAAGACGTAATCAAACAGACGATGAACACTATTAACAGCAATTATTATATGATGCAATCAAACTTATAACAAAATGTGGTAGTTCTGTATGTTGTTTCAGGGTTGTCATTATCTGAGGTCCTATGAGGGGTTGGCATCATCTCTTCTCAGGTGTTCCAGATCCAGACTGAAGCTTGTGTAAATCCTAGTTATGGCAAAAACAGAGAAACAAATAGAGACATAATTAGCGTAGCTCCTGTTCCAACCAAGCAAAATTTATTTGTTTCACCCAAACTAAAGAATAATAATGTGCATTTGATCAGATATAACTGCAGTACAAGATTATGATATGCATTATTTGAATGATTGGCCAAAGAGATGTGTCTTTAATCTAGATTTAAACAGAGAGAGTGTGTTTGAACCCCGAACGGTATCAGGAAGGCTATTCCAGAGTTTGGGAGCCAAATGCGAAAAAGCTCTACCTCCTTTAGTGGACTTTGCTATCCTAGGAACTACCAAAAGTCCAGAGTTTTGCGACCTTAGGGAGCGTGATGGATTGTAGCGTGGTAGAAGACTAGTTAGGTACGCAGGAGCTAACCCATTAAGGGCCTTATAGGCAAGTAATAATATTTTGTAACTGATACGGAACTTAATAGGTAGCCAGTGCAGAGACTGTAAAATTGGGGTAATATGATAATAGGTTTCTTGACCTGGTAAGGACTCTAGCCACTGCATTTTGGACTACCTGTAGCTTGTTCATGCACGATACAAGGAAATGGTCAGTAACATTATCACTTTGAGGTACGATAATCTATATCAGTAAGATCAATTCCATGTGATATAATTAAATCTAGCGTATGATTAAAATGATGAGTGGGCCCGGTGACATTTTGCTTGACTCCAAAAGAGTTTATTAGGTCAGTAAAGGCAAGTCCTAATGCATAATTTGTATTATCAACGTGAATGTTAAAATCTCAGACAATTAGCGCTTTATCAACAGTAACCAATAGGTCTGAGAGGAAATCTGCAAATTCTTTTAGGAAATCTAAAAGATTTCTAGATCTGAACAGCACATCTTCTTTAACACGGTTACATCTGTCCACCACCTTTCGTTGATGTAAAAGCATGTCCCACCGCCACGCGATCTGCTCTAAACAGCTGAAAGCCTGGCAGATTTAACACGCTGTCCAGTATGGCGTCATTCAGCCAGGTTTCTGTGAAACACAGAGCAGCAGAGTGTGAGAAATCCTTATTTTTCCGGGAGAGCAGAAGGAGTTCGTCCGTTTTGTTGGGTAGAGAGCGGAGGGTCGCCAGATGGATGCTAGGCAATGGCGTTCGAAATCCGTGCTGCCTGAGCTTCACGAGGGCGCCGGCTCGCTTCCTCCGTCTGCGCGTCCTGAAGCGCTTGATCAGCGCAGCTGCTCCGCCAACTACTATGTCCAGCAAAACATCAGAATAGTCAAAAACTGGTAATATATCGGGTGATGTGTAGTGCCGAATGTCCAACAATTCGTCTCTGGTGAAACTGATTGCAGGGATATAACTAAAGACAGGACAAACTAACAAAAACAACTGCAGAGCACGCCCACGGAGGCCGCCATCATCATCGGCGCCATCTCCAATGTCTTTCTTCAGTTAGAAAACATTATTATAAGATAACCGTTTTGAATCGGGCCAAAGCAAGGCGATAGTTTTGAACACTGGCTGGTTATGCACTTGCTCAAATATTGATTTCCGATCATTTAAAAAAAAAAAAGTTATGGACTGCAGCTTTAACATTCTAAAATGACAAAATGTACTGCAGAGCATTTTACATCCAGTAGAGGGCGATATGATGTAGCATAATGACTGGGCTATCCAGGCTACTAACAATATAGCTTATAACTGGCAAAGTGAAGGCTCAAGACAATGCAAGAAAGGATGACAGCCAGAATCACAAACGATCCAAGTCTGTTAAAAGTATGGTAGAGGTAAAGTGATGATCTGGCAATATCTGTGAATAGCTTGGGTCTATTCATATTAGACACAACATGACTAAACTCTAATGCCATGACAAGATGCGCATACATGCATCTCGCGCATGTACAGTCTTCTGCCATCTTCACCCATTAGCCGCTTTTCCACTGGTCAGTGCGAGCCGGGCGGGGCTAATAGCCTCGAACCTCGAGCACAGAGGCCGAAATCATGCCACGTTTCCACTGTCGGGCCAGTAGCCTCACGGCACTCCTGTAAAACTCGCCCTAAACACGCCTTCCTTGGACTACGTCACACAATACAAAGTTCCACCAGCGACAGGGAGATGAATGAAATAAATCGCTAAACAAATATATCAGAAACTGTCGTTTAGTCTTTATTTACAAACTTGGACACCACACGCGGCTATTTACTGACCACGAACAGGAAATTGAACTTACTTGCGGCATTTTTGATTCGTTAATGTCTTGTTGTTTTTTTTCTTTGAACAATTCAATTTTGGGCTAAAAGTGTGTTGTAACGCATGCGTTACTGAACATGTACCGAGTAAAATATTACTGAAAATTGATTAGTAATGCCTTACACTACTGCGTTACAGCAAAAATTAATCAGTTACTGTAATGCATTACTTTTGTAACGCGTTACTCAAAACACTGTGGGTGAGTAAGACAAGCATGACTCATTACAGCGAGCAGAATTTCATGAATGACTGAATCGCCAGACCGATTTATCTCCAAATTGTGTGCTCAACCCATGTCTATTCTCAGTTATGAAAGAGTGTGGAATAAACAAAAGGAAGAAAGGAAAGAGATGTCTCAACCTAGAAAAGGCAGTTTGGCCTTTAAATTAGCACACTGTTAAAAACTGGTAATGCCGTTGTTAATTTAAGGATTCATTTCTACTGATCCTTAAAAAAATATTTTCAATTGTGTAACCTATCGTAATCAAAAAAATATTTTCAATTGTGTAACCTATCGTAATCTGGTTGATTCACATTAAATAAAAATTTTGACTTGGAAATTTTTTTTTTTGAGATGTTGGGTCAAAATAATAACTTTAATAACAAGAATAAGAATAAAATTAGTTGTTGTAATATGCCTATATGTCATTTCATGCTCATGTAAGAAAGATAGTGGTAGTGTTGGAACTTATTTGAAAATTATTTGTGAAAATACATTTTAATTAGAATTAAATGTGATTTACCATAGCATCCAGATCCAGTCCGTATCCAGATCAGATGGTTACTGCAGTCACCTGGATCCAGTCCAGATGGTGGATCAGCACCTAGAGATGACCTTTATGTCAAGCGGTGACCATGTCAACTAGAGGAACCCTAGAGACAGATCTCTTCTGAAGACCTCGTCGGCCATCGGCTCAAGACCACGAGAACCAGACGAGTCCTCTGCACAATCTGACTTGTGTTGCAGCCTGGAATTAAGCACACCATGCTGGTTTTGTCTGGCTAGAGGAGAACTGGCCCCCTGACTGATCCTGGTTTCTCCCAAGGATTTTTTTCTCCATTTCTGTCACAGACGGAGTTTTGATTCCTTGCTACTGTGCCTTTGTCTTGCTTAGTTGGGGACACAATTTCTGGCAACATTGTTGACTGCACAGATGCTATTTGAAGAGAACTGAACTGAGCTGGACAATGACATCACTGAATCAACAATGAACTAACTGTAACTGATAAACTGACTGTTTTCTATTGTCTTGCATTATCAGCACACGTTCTTCCTGTTTAACACTATAAAACTGCTTTGACACAATGTAAGGGCTATATAAATAAAGGTGACTTGACTTGACTTAATGAGATTAAAAAAGAAAACAATAAAAATAACTTCTGATCAAGAGCAGAAACTGATCATTTCTTACGAGCAAACAAAAAAAACACCCTGGTTTGAAACATCATCAAGGGGGCGTATCCAGAAAGTATTACTAACCATAGCCAGCTATGGTTGAATGCTCCATCATTACCTAAATATATTTAGTGTTTCCCAAAACCACTAGTATATTTTCTTGTTACTTCATAGTGCCCTGTAGACTACACTTAACACAGTCATAAATATTTACACACTGTACATGACTAGTAATAGTAATGTTTTATTAGGAATAGGTGCAAAAAAGAAACTCTATTACCTTATGAAAAAAAAATTATAACGCCGACGGTTCTTCCCCTTTGGTCAGCATTGTCAGTCATGGCTCTTGCCATCTTGCATGTCTGGGCCACACACACACACTTCTCCATCAGACCCTTTCCCTGAGGGGGTAGCATCCACTCATGATCTCTCTGCCACAGCCAGGGAGGCAGTCCCAGAGTTCGAACACCCTGCCTGTTCTGTCATGGCCATGGAGCTTGTTCCTGCTTTTTCTGCCATGGCCATGGAGGCTGTTCTGCTAGTTTCACCATGGTGGCTCCATCTCTGCCATGGTCCCCAGCTTTGCCGGCTCTATCATGGTGGTCTCCTGCTCCATCAGTTCCACCATGGTGTCTCCAGTCCCAGTGGCGCCCTGTGGTTCTCAGCTCTGCTGGCTCCACCGTGGTGGTTTTCACTTCAGCTTTGGTTGTCTCCTGTTCCTCCTGCTTTTCCGTAGTGGTCTTCTGCTCGTCTGGCACCCCTGTGGTCCCTTGATCCGCCATGGTGGTCTCCTGCTCCACCAGTGCCCCATGGTCTCCCGACATCTGCTACAGCATCTCTAGAGGTGGTGGCATCCCCCGTAGAGTTTGTATCAGCCCCAGAGAAACCTGAGCACCTAACCTGTTCCGTTTCAGTCATTCATGCTGTCCCTGCCTTTTCTCCCACAGTCAGTCATCCCCTGCAATTCCGTTCCAATATCATTCCAATGTCTCTTGCTCCACCATTGCATCCTGTGGTCTCATGGTCCTGGCCCAACTTCCATTCCACTGGTGTGATTTCCATCAGCATTGCTGTGTTTTAGAGCATCAGGAGTTGCCACTTAAGTGAAATATAGTACCTGTCCTTGTGCCTTTTGTTACCTGTCCCCCTTATTGTTCTTACCTGTGGTGTATTAGACAGCTATTCCTTGTGTATATAAGCCCTTGTGTTTCCTGTATTCATTGTTGGGTCTTGATATGGCAGGTCTTGTCTCATTAGTGTTCTCAGTTCTGGTTCGGCATTTTGTCTAATTTCCAAGTTTCTGCATTTGGATCCTGCTCTTCCTGATCGCAGAGTTCACCTTGTGTTACAGTAGTTCAGGGGTTAAACAGAGACAAACATTGTCTCAAACAGGAAAATGAACAGCATTGATTCAGTGTTTTTAATGTTGTTGTTTTATTGAGAAGCTGAGAGAAAATAAGTTTATTAGTTACTAATTACTTGTTAACTTTCTTATAAATTCTAACTGTTATATCATAGTAAATAAATAAATAACGTAACTAAAAATCTAAAAAAGCGTTAAAGAATGCATAATAGCTTCCACTTTTCTCAGTTATTGGGTTGAATAGAAATGTGGCAGCACTGCAGCGAGCTAGTTAAAGCAGCCAGGCTGGCTCTCTACAAGAAGATAGAAGTGTGTGTCATGCTTTGATGAGCTGGATTAAGAGAGAAGATCCTGGATTAGTACTAGGAGCAAACTCAGCACGTCATTTGAACATCATTAAGTGACAATAATAATAATAATAAATAGAAAACTAAAACAAAATCTATTTCCTATGTCTTTATTTTTATCATTAGTCAGAGTTTGCTTTTCTTTCTGCATAATGTTTTAGAAGAGGTTACAAAGTAGTGCAGGAATTGCACTGTCATGCACCATGGTGAACCTCTGCACTCTGACCTCATCTATTCCACAAAGCACGTCACCTCTGCAATTTCATAAATCCAATTTAATAAGATACTTTTTCTGAACATCTAGAGCTTGCCAGTTAATAAACAGCAAACACGTTTATTTGAAATTGTCTCAGAGATCCTTTGTCATTTTCCACTAATATTCTATAGTTTCAAAAATTGATTTCCATGTATTAACCTAAACTTATTTTAAACAACCAGCATCATTATTTAATAACATGTCTGTGAGTCATTTTGTGGCATGGTCCAGTGGTGTGTCCATTGCAGATATTTGTGAGGCGGCTGGCTGGGCCTCGCTGTCCGGCCGAATTACCTGCTGTTTTTTGACAAACACCAAGGTCATGTGGTAATTGAATTGGCATCTGAATCCACATCTCTGAGTTTATGAGAAGAAATCGATTCAAAATTCAATGTTTAAACCCTTTTTGAGCACTCCCGAACACCGTACGGTAACTGTTGTACTTCGGTGTAACTTGCATACATATTTATTTCTGAAATGCTGGAAAGTATTTAAAAGAAAAATACTTCATAACTGCTCCACTCCAGCGACTGCGAGCAGAAAAAGAAGAAAAGCACGTAAACATTCGAAATGTGTCTTTTTTTATGGCAGCAGCAGGTATGCAATGCAATTTTAAAATGCGTATTATAAACAGATATATACATAAGTTAAGCGTTAGCGTTAGTTCTGGCAGGTCACGTGAGCCAAGCATGCATCAGCTGATTCTCAGCTGATCACATCTGCCTGGAGGAATGCGACACCTATCGCGGCATTCCTATATAAGCTCTATTCAGTATTATTCAGCAGCTTTTCAGCTTGCTCTGGAACAAATGACCCTCCTCCATCCCCAGCTCCTCCTTTCGCCACAGTAATTTATTTCTGAAATGCTGGAAAGTATTTAAAAGAAAAATACTTCATAACTGCTCCACTCCAGCGACTGTGAGCAGAAAAAGAAGAAAAGCACGTAAACATTTGAAATGTGTCTTTTTTTATGGCAGCAGCAGGTATGCAATGCAATTTTAAAATGTGTATTATAAACAGATATATACATAAGTTAAGTGTTAGCGTTAGTTCTGGCAGGTCACGTGAGCCAAGCATGCATCAGCTGATTCTCAGCTGATCACATCTACCTGTAGGAATGCGACACCTATCGCGGCATTCCTATATAAGCTCTATTCAGTATTATTCAGCAGCTTTTCAGCTTGCTCGGGAACAAATGGCCCCTTCGGGCTGGCATGACCGGGCCCCGCCGCTTCGGGGGAACTGAGAGTGGCCACCGCCGCCTCAGGGAAACTGAGAGTGGCCACCGCCGCTTCCGGAGCCTTGTGAGCGGGCACCGCCGCTTTGAGAAACTCATGAGCGGGCACCGCCGCTTCGGGGAAACTGAGAGCGGCCACCGCCGCTTCCGGAGCTTTGTGAGCAGACCACGCCGCTCGCACCGCATAGACTTTGAGCGTGGATGGGGAGCGTCCCTTATCCAGCAGCTCTTGCAGAAATGACAATACCTCTGTTAAATCGTAAATATGAGGGTCTTTGCCACGGTTTAGACGCCAAGCGGAGAAAAAAGACCACTTCAAGGCGTAGAGGCGTCTCGTAGACGGGGCTCTAGCCTCTGCGATTGTGTTTAAGACTCAAAGGCTCCCTTCGAGCGGCCAGAGGTGCAGGGCCCATAGGTCGGGCCGAGGATGCCATATTGCCCAATTCGCTTGAGAGAGGAGATCCCGTCTCAGCGGAACGGGCAAAGGGGCCGCTATCAACAGCTGAGTTAGCTCTGATGACCACAGCTGGTTCATCCAAAGGGGGGCCACCAGGAGAATCTTGTGTTTTTGTTCCCTTACTCGCCTGATTACCTGTGGGATCAGGGCGGTCGGGGGAAAAGCATAAAGAAGGAGGTTGGGCCAATCGTGGGCCAACGCGTCCCTGGTCTTTGAGAAATAAATTGGGCAGTGAGAGTTGTCTTCTGAGGTGAAGAGGTCCAACTCGGCCTCGACGAAGATCTTCCAGATCCTCTGAACCATCTGTGGATGGAGCGTCCACTCCCCTGAGGGGACATTGCTCCTTGGTAACATGTCCGCTCCTTGGTTCAATTTGCTCCTTGGTAACATTATCGCTTTATGCGCTGCTCTCAGCAAGCGCAGGTTGAGTTGATCCCATTCCAGGAGGCGCTCTACCAGAGTGAAGAGACGCTTCGAGGAGATGCCTCCATGGCGATTTATGTAGGACACCACGAACCTGTTGTCCGATCGGATTAGCACATGGTGTCCTTTTAGGACTGGCAGGAAGAACTGACAGGTTCGACATACTGCTAGCACTTCCAGGCAGTTGATGTGGAAGCCTTTTTCCGTCTTTGACCAGTGGCTTATATATTTACAAATACCCTCATTGCTAAGTTATATACTGTATGTAAACACTGTCAAGAAATAACAAATCTGACAACAAATTCTGCATAGCTACTGTTGCTAGAGAATATGTCAAAATGATAGCATTAGCTTTTGTTGCTTCATTTTACATACTCTCAAATAACTTAGAGATACAGTACATTCTAATTTTAACTAGAAGAAATTGCTCATAGATTAGCTGTGTCACAACAAGAGGCCAGACAAAAGTGTGATTCCCTGGAATATTGTTTGCTTGTTTTAAAGATTGCTTCCAAAAAGCAATAACGTATTTTCCCTAGACAAA